CATGCAGTTTAAATAAAACCTCTCAAGTTGTTTGTAGCCTCAATCCGAGCTTCATAAGAAAGGAATTACCTGCAGGAATCACCACAAACGGCATGTTTCATTCAAAGCCATTACTCGTTTATTGTTTGTTTATCTACCTCGATCGTGACCACTGAAGCTCTCTGTGAATAAGAGGCTCAGATGGGGGAACAACATCAAGGGTTTTCACTTCAGGGAAATGAAATTGTTGATTGGTGCCACATAGAGACACACATTTACACCTATATCAATGACAACACTTTGATGGGGAGCCCCCCCATGATACTTTGATATTTTGTTTCTGTATACGTATATTTTTATATATATATAATTGATAAAACAACCTGAATTGCACAAACTTTCTACATTCTTTAGGTGTTTTTTGTTTTGTCAAAAAAGAGTTGAGATGACAAATGGAATCTGGGAACTGACCCAGATCGGGCTTCGCTGCCGCCTTCGACATGCAGTCGGAAGCTCTGTCGGGAGGAGGAGAGCTCCATGCCCAACAACTACTCCTCCGGCCAGGAGCAGAGTTTGGACTAGCTACCCACTGGGAGATAACACCAACACCACGCTGCTGGAGAACCAGGTGGTATTACTGGGCCCGCTAGAGGAAAGGGAGGCACGGGAGAACCAGAAACAGGACTGCACATAGCAGATTGTCAAACACCCGCTGCAGTAAAATGAGAGGTTTTCTAAAGGGAATCTGGTGCTCGGAAACAATACCGCTTTTCGTCCATAGGGAGTGCCAAAATCAACACAAAATGATAAATCTAACTTAAAAGTTACTACAACGAACTAAGACTTTCAAAATTGTACTCACATTGATATTTTAGACCAACTTTACAATAACCAAAGTCGCAGAAAAAAATAAACGAGATCAGTTACTTCGGGTTGTTTATGTTACGTAAAACACTTCCCCATGTCATCGCTAGCTGACAGACAGTGTATCTGCTCTGAGCATCCCAGCTGTTGTTTCCACTATCCTGATCGGCTCACGTTGTTGCGAAAGGCATTCGGTAAATTATTAATCTAATAGATGTCACCAATTATTTTGAGTTTTTATGTTGCATTGTCAGAAAAACACGTCTTAGCATTTTTGGAGACTTTTGAAAGATTAATTGAAAACATTTTAATAGCACTTCAGGCCTTTTACAAGTATTGAGAGACACACTGACTCAGGTGGTTGGTTCAGGTGTTTTCATTGGACAATATTTGTTATTGTCCAATTATTGACAATTATGGAAGCACAAGATATCGTGAGCCTTATCTTCTGGATCTTATGAGCTGATGCTTGAAGTTTTAACGGCACTGTAGACGCTTTAAGATGGATCACTACTGGGAAGCAACTGTGCACTGGTATTTCCCCATAACACACTGGCAGTTCACTGTTATGCCAACAGGTGGCAACCTAACACAAAATCATGTGAACGACCACGCAGCACTGTGTGCTGAGATGGAAACATGCTCGGAAATACTGTGTGAAACATACATACTGCATACTGTCTAAATATGTGTAATATATACAGCGTTTGATATAATATAAGACTGGCCTGCCTTTGACAATTTTTACACACGAGTGCAGTCAGTCATGCAGACGTTCACACACACGCACACACACACACACACACAATTCAGAAGTCTTGTTTTTTGTCTCTCTTCCTCTCTGAAAACACCTCTCATTCCCCGAGAGGCGTCCCCTCGCTGTGTACAAGTCTATTTTCTTCTGCTGACATGTCTTCACTTCAGCAGGCCATGCTGTACCTTTTTGCCCTCACTCTGCCAATTGTAGCACACACTACCACACACACACACATACACACACACAGGCTCACACACATGAATCCCCCACGTGCTACTACATGCACACATGAAAAATACAGGCACACAGGAACACACTAACGCAGCTTGTCAACTCCCCCGCTGCTGCTGCTGCTGCTAACAGATGACAGCAGGCCCCCGAGGTTGAAGAAAGATAGTCTGAGTGCAGTGAAAGTAAGAGGGCAAAAAAATGCATGTTTGTTTGGACAGCATCCAGATGTGCTACGTGTGTTCGGAACGAGAACAGCGCAGCCAGAAGGTACAACAGGAAGAATTGAGCCTGTGCATCATTAATCGGGTTTCTGTGTCAATTGTCAAGCATGCGTGTGGAGACATGTGGGAATGTGCATTTGGTCCTCTGAGATCTCCACTGACGTGTTTTATTTTGTCAAACTCAAACACAACTTGCTTGAGGATCAAATGTGGCTCCATAGTGATAATCTAACGCTAAAGTCTCTGTATGTTCCACCTCTAAAGCATACACTCCCTTGCAAACTGTGTTGGCCTAGTTTTCCATAAATGTGCTAGGTTCAGGTGCAGAGTGAGAAACAGAGCTTTTAATGGACAGAAATTGAAGGCTTCAACAGTTATTGCAACATCTGGTGACAACAGAACACCAGGTCTGAAAAGTGAAGCCAATTCTAAAGCGCTTAAACTTGTATTCTCTCTAATGGCCATCAGGGGGCGACTCCTCTGTTTGCAAAAAGAAGTCGGATTGTATAAAGAAAACATTACTCTACTTCTCTCTTGATTTATTACCTCAGTAAACATTGTAAACATGAGTTTTTGGTCTTAATCTCTAGTTTCAAGTCTTCTTCAATACAGCATGATGTTCATTTAGTGAATGATGCTCCATTTAGAGTCAAATAGACCATGAACAGGAGTATGCTTTAGGGCGGGGCTACCTTGTGATTTTCTCTGAAACGTTGCCCTTACTGACCACAATGCTGGTGTCAGCTAATGTTCTATACCTTCAATAAACTGTATATAAGAAGTGGACGTAGTCATTGTGATGTCACTCATTGGTTTGTGGACTGACGTTATGAAGCCTCGATGTTCAGCGATTTCGTCGTCGCCATCTTAGATTACTGCCGTCGCCATGTTGGGTTTTTTGCAACTGAAAGTGACCATGTTTGGAATGCGGAGAAGTGATGTAGACACTCCGTATATGGCTCTGGTAGCTGCAGCGACCTGTCAATCACAGTAAGCCCGCCATAAAGCATAGTCTGCTTTATGGTCTGTTTGACTCTAAATGGAACATAATTTACTGATGTTCTACTCATGTTTACAATGTTTACTGAGGTAATAAAGCAAGTGAGAAGTAGAGTCATTTTCTCATAGACTTCTATACAATATGACTAATTTCTGCAACTGGAGGAGTCGCCCCCTGCTGGTCAGTAGAGAGAATGCACGTTTTAAGACACTTCTGCATTGGCTTCAATCAGCAGAAACGAAGGTTGCCGTGTGGTCTCAACAACTATTGGATGGAATGCCACAAGATTTGGCTCAGACATTTACGTATCAGGATGAATTCTAATAACTTTGGTAAACTTTTTTGTCTAACATTGTCACCATGTAAAGATTTTGATTTGCCCAGTACTTTGGTGTATGACCAAATACCCGCAAAACTAATGACATTCCCATCAGCCTGTTATTTGTGTGTTAATGCTAATTCACAAATATTAGCATGCTAAAGCACTTAAGATGGTGAACATGATAAACATTATACCCGCTTAACACCAGCTTGTTAGCATTTCTCATTATAAGCCTGTTAGCATGCTGACGCTAGCATGTCTCTAGTCTTGTTTAGCCAGACTTACATTACAGCATTACAGCTACACTAAATGTTAGCATTAAAGTGTGAATTCCACCACTGGTTACTGAAGATGAGCCAACCTGGCTAACCAGCTTACTAATTCTACACTTTAATGCTACACTGGTTACAGGGTGTGACAAGAGTGTGTCGGTGAAGCATTGTGTTGTTAAATTGTACTAATTTATACATAAAAATGGTACACATAAAAATGGCCGCCGCTCTGACCATCTGGCAACATTGATTTGAATATCCATTCTACTCCTATTTTCATATGACCTGTGCCCAACTGGATGTGCACACCATTCACATATTCGTGTGAAAATTCCCCATGCTAAAGCCATTTATCTTTCACGTTTAAAAAAGACGTCACATATAAAAATAAAAATCAATTTCACATGTAAAACACCGAATTCATATAAACTATAGGCAGATGTGGTCCACAGTATCTCACATGTAACAGCATAACAAATGCAGTGGTGGAATTAAATGAAAACAATGCATTTAATAAAGCACTACAATTTTACCTTCCTTGAGTATTTCAGTTTTATTCTTCACTACATTCAGAGACAATATTGTTCTTTTTACTCCACTACAGGCATGGGTAGTCATGTTGCAGATTCAGGTTTTACATACAAAATGATTAAATAAGTTTATAAAATATGATACGTTGTTATAGATACAACTACCAACCGTATAAAGTTGTATCTTCATATCCACCAGCTATAACGCGAAAATGCTACTGACACACTAATGCATCAGTTATAATCCTCCAATAATATAATATAAATATGCAATTTATTAATATGACACTGGCAGGTGCTATTCACCTGCACATTGAGTACATTTACTTCTGATACTTTATATTTTGCAAATATGTATTTGCTTTTAATTGCAAAAGATATTGAATGCAATAAAATGACCCAAATAAAAGATAAAAACCTTTAACATTCCACATATAATTAACACTAATTGTTCATTTCACATATTTGTAGATTGAACTGAAAGGATTACAGCACTTTTAGCACCATTGCATTCATTAATTAGGAGCTAATATAATAGGACCAGAAGTGTTTTGGATTTCAAGATTTCAGGATTGGCTCCATCTCGCACAGTGAAATGCGCATCCTCTCATATTGGGGGGCTCCCCGAGCCAAAACGTATATGATCTCACGCGTGTCCGTCACGAAACGCCTCATCGGCGGAGATGCACTTTGATCCCCGTTTTCTACTACTGCTACTGCTGTGCCCGCGCGTACGAGAACGGGCTTCGTCGCTGTCATCAGTACAATCAGCATCTTCCGGAGGAGGCGGGGGGCGCAGAGAAACGGGAGGAGGAGGACGGAGAAAGAGAGAGAGGTGGAGAGAGGGAGAGAGCGGAGACATACTGGATACGGCTACGACAAAAAAGAAACATGCTGATGATGGAGTCGAGACGGTGGAGGATGTCGGATTTACGAGAAAGGACTGCTGACATTTGACAGAGGGCTCCCTTTGACAACCTGTTTTTTTTTTTCTTCTCCCATCTTCTTTCGGTACCCCCACCACCCCCCGCCCCCACCACCCGACACACACATGCTGCGCGGACGCTGAAGGCGAGCAGAGGGGGAAAAAGGGGGGAAGCACCCCTGCGGATGCCTCGGTAACGGTAACAACGGGCTCCACGGCTGGCGCGTCCTCATCCCACAAATGGTAAATAAAAACGGACAACCTGGAGACGGACCTGGACTGATGGATGAGGAAGGACCGCATCTTTAACCCCCCCCCCCCCCCCCCCTCGCCCACCAACCCACCCGCCCACTGTGAAATAATAGAAAAATCCTGTTTGGATGGATTTTTTAAAAATATCTTTTTGTTCTCAATCATTCATTGAGGAGGAGACGCGCCTCAGACGGCAATGTTGAATCACTGGTCTCGGTCAATTATTCATTAGTGGTGTAGGTAGGCTATGTTTTTTGTTTTGTTTTGTATTGCTTCAATGTAGCATTTTCTGCTCACTTATACATTTTTTTACAATGTTTAGCCTCGTGATATCACCTACATATTTGCAGGTTGCGTTTTAACCGTGTGGTAGGCCTGTTTCAAAAGCCTTTAACAGCCACATAACAGGTAGCCAAAGTGTGTGTGTGGGGGGGATTTGGGGCGCTTTGATAACTGGAGAACGGGGAAAAAATCGGGGTAGTGAAAGGGGGCATTATTTAAAGATTTTTCTTGTAAGAGTCTAAACAACGGAGGAGGACAGGGGGTGGAAAGAGAGATACAAGGAGAGAAAATAAAGACAAAACAACCAAACATGTTGCCTTCCCAAGAAGCCTCCAAGATCTACCATGACAACTACATGCGCAACTCCCGCGCCATCGGCGTGCTGTGGGCCATCTTCACGATCTGCTTCGCCATCGTCAACGTGGTGGTGTTCATCCAGCCCTACTGGATCGGCGACAGCGTCAGCACGCCGCAGACCGGCTACTTCGGCCTATTCCACTACTGCGTGGGCCCCGGGCCGTCGCCCAGCCGGGACCTCACCTGCGCGGGCAGCTTCGCCGACTTCGCCTCCATCCCGTCCGGCGGCTTCAAGGCGGCCGCGGTGTTCGTGCTGCTCTCCATGGTGCTGATCCTCGCCTGCATCGCCTGCATGGCGCTCTTCTTCTTCTGCAACACCTGCACCGTTTACAAGACCTGCGCCTGGATGCAGCTGCTGTGCGGTAGGGCAAACCTTGTCACTTAGCCTACATTTAAAATACCTTTTGATGAGGGGTAAACCCCATCCTAAACTCATTGGCCCTCCTGTTTTAACTACACGAACCGCCACCTTGCATCCAGTGGTGTTGGTGTTATATCACAATTTGAAATATTTTATGAATGCATTTCTTTTTATGAATGCATTCTACTTTCCGAAAACCGGATTGATCAGATAATCACTTTACCCACAGCTCACTGCTGCATTGACACATTTTTCAGTCCCTGATCCACCAAAATCTGTAGGTCTCTAGTAGGTCAAATACATATATTATTTTTATTCCAGACTATACACAGAATACACACACACACCACCCGCGTGAGAGACTAAGTGGTGTGACATCATCAAAACATCATTACGGACTTCTGAGGTCAGTGTACTGGAGTGGCACCGGCTCGCGCTCCTGTAGAAATGTCGTATCGCGTGAGAGTTCTCGCGGGTGGACGTGAGATTAAAAAGGTGTTTGTGCGGCAGGTTTTCCATTTGCGTGAAAACCAACACGCTTCGGTTTAAAGCGGCGCAGGCTACTTTCTGTTGCGGTTAATTAGGATGTTTTTTAATGAATGCAAATGTCATTCGTTCATCCATTCGCAGCTCGCCGTGCACAACGCGGTATTATGTGATGTCGTTTGGGGCTTACGTCGCTATTTGATATGGGGTGAATCCAGGTCGATTGGATTACATCTACATCTTTATTTTTTTAGGACGGTGATGTTTTTGTCTCCTGCTCTCGTGTGCAGATTGCAGTGCTACCTTCACGGACAATACAGCTTTAGCGATGGCGACAAGTGTAACTTTGACACGTTTAGGTTTGTGGATGTGCCAGAGCTTCTTTGAAATAATCCTTGCAGATGATTGACGATCAACTAACTAATTGATTGTTCAAGTGATTACTTGAGCTCTTCTTTCATGACTTTTTAAAGTTTTATTCCACTTTCAGGATAAAGACTCTGATGCTCATATTGACTGATTATTCTAATAATCCGCACAGGAACATTCTGGTCTGATTTATTGCTACCGTCTTTTTTTAAATGACACTGATCTCCAGTTATTTGTTTGCAACGGTTGTTGTCTCATAAAAAAAATGGCTGGAATAAATTTAATCCATGGTGATCGAACGTCTCGTGGCCGAGAGAGTAAAGTGACCACGTAAGCAGGACTTAACCTCTGAGCAGCCAGAGCAGCACCTACCCCGATCTCTCTCATATGCACAGTTCTAGTGAGAACCTCCTGTGTGTATCCGACTCCTTCATAAGCCGATCAATTTGATAAATAGGCCAGGCAGAATAGCGTGGGAGTCAGTTTTCTGTACGGAAACAGTCAGCATACTAAATGAGAGGGAGGGAGAGAGGAAGGGAGAGACAGAGAGGGAAAGAGAGAGTGAGAGGGAGATCAGCACTTTCTTTCCTCCTGTATTGTTCCTCTCCTCATCCTCATCTGCCCACTCCGTCCTCTGTTCTGCCGAGTGTGTCGAAAGGGTTTTGGTGCTCTACAATCAGCATGAATCAGACAGAATAGTGGAGGTACAGATTATTTTTCTATAAATCTTCATGACTTCACAGGGATTGAACCCAGGTCTCAAAAAACATTAATCAAGTGAGACACTGGGTAAAGAAAAGCAGCGGTGGATCTTTTTACAGAGGTAAAAGTAGCAAAGCTGCAGCGTAAAATCTCCCCTTTACAAATAAAACTCCTGCCAAGCGAACATTTTTGCGCAGCACGATTATATACAAAGTTGAGGCAATAATGCGAATAGACACAACAAAACTACTTGATCATGTTTAGTAAAAACTCATGGTTTGGCTAAAAATGTGTAGGTTTTGTTATGTAACTTCAGTTATGTAGGTAACATTTAAATGTAACATTGAAAGAAGTCAAAGCTGTTTTTTTAGTTTCATACAGGACACAAACAGCTGTCTACTGGGTGGAAGTCCTGTGTTTGTTTGATATACTGTACCTCCATTCTTTGTTTCTAAATCTAAATTGATAGTTGCCTTCCCTTTAATCTGGGCGTACATGTCAGAGTTTGTGAAACTTAACTACTGTCCTTACAGTGGATTCGTGCGAAGTGTGATGGCGGTAAATTGTCTAATGGGCTTGGCAGACAGCCTAATGCTGCTCGCCACCTTGGAGATGATAGTTTAATCATCCACTCTGCCCTGCTGGGCATCGCGGCAGGTCTCCTGGCATGGCGCAGTGACAGAGTATACCACAGCAAATACAGCAAGGGCCAATTTGGAGCGGTGGTGGCTGAGATACAGGCCAAATGGACTGAAAGTGTCAATTAGGGAGCCCTTGGGGTGTCCGATCGCGATGGTCTGCTAGCATGCTACTGCAACAGGAAGGTGAAACCAAAATGTTCACCCAATGAAAATGTCCTCATCCATTCACCCTTGTGTCAGCTTTAAGTACAGTAAAGTTTTAACGTCCACATAGGACAGCGGTTTTACTCCTGTAGCTACATGTCAGAATTCTAAGAGAATGGTTCTCTCAAATTAGGGAAAATCAGCAACAAGTACGCCAAAAAAATCGATACCGTGGTCAACTAATGGGACTTATTGGTTCAATCAAATGAAAGATTGAAACCGAGGCCAAAACACTGGGGCGCAGACCTCTTGGCAGAGCAAAGTGACACAGTGGGTCTTGGCTTCCATGAGCTGAACATTTTCAGTTGGCCCATAAGGTCAATGCACTTGAAATATGTTGTTCACTTCGCCAATCTTCTCTACCTCCTCCCCCGTCTCCTCTCCTGTTTACGGTTCATATCATTTCCTTCCATCCCTCCAGCAGAACTAAGGTACCAGGAAAGCTCAGTGGGCCACAAGCCTTTGCAGCTTGATGACTCTATTTTTATCCGCCATCAGCTCATGCCTCCATCTCTCCTTAACGTCTTTCCCTGTCTGTTGCAATATTAAACAGAACTAAGCAGGACATGGGCCGTGGCTCAGGGGAGGAGCTGTCCTGGGAGAAACGACCTGTCAGAGAATGGTCGGTTTCAGTGTATGTGTGTGTGTGTGTGAGTGTGTGTGTGTGTGTATGTGTGAGTGTATGTGTGTGTGTGTGTGAGTGTGTGTGTGTGTGTATGTGTGAGTGTGTGTATGTGTGTGTGTATGTGTGTGTGTGTGTGTGAGTGTATGTGTGTGTGTGTGTGTGTGTGTGTGTGTGTGTGTGTATATGTGTGTATGTGTGTGTCTATGTGTGAGTGTGTGTGTGTGTGTGTGTGTGTGTATGAAAGCAATAGAGAAAAAACATGGAAATAGTAACTTTGAGGAATAGAGAGCGAGAATGAAAAACCATCCAAGCTAAAAGGATTGGACATCATGTTTGGCATTACATTATTAAAGCTATTAAATCATTCATTGTTTGGGCCACTTTTTTGGGGTAGCGGATCAATCTGAAAACACATGACCTCATGAAATGAACAAAACAGTCCCCTATAGACACCACACAAATAAGAACATTATAATTTTTGTGGCCACCTGACAAAGTGCATTATTCACTCTCTTTTAGCTCTATTTTTGGTCTCCACCAACTCCTGAGGGGATGCATCTGTCTGTTACCTTCACTGACTAGTTGCAAAACAAAAAAGATTTAGTTTGGTGATGGGCAGGTAGTGCACGGCTGCGTCCAGAAATGGGGTTGATGAGAGCAGAGTCGGGCGGTCACAAAACCAAAACAAGGAGCCAAAAGCTCTGTAGAGCTTAGGTGGACTGTGGGTGATCATTTTGACTTACGGGCAAAACTTTTCACATCATACATGGCAACTTGACAAATAGTTTTTCATAAGAATAGTAATTCGTGCAGCTTTAAGGCAGGTATTAACCTGCGGCTAAGAGCTTGTGATGCATTCTGGTTAGCTGTTACCAATAGTGGGTTTAATGGGGAGGGTGGGGGAGTTGACCAGCCCTGGGTTTCACACTACTGTGACATGAAATATATTAAACAACGGTTTTTATGGTTTAGATTGATTCATTTGACAAAATTGAGTCACAAGTGGCAACATTCTGTAAATGAGAGATATCCGTGTCCCCTTTTAAATCTCTTCAGGGATTCTATGCTACAGTCTACAAGTCTATACTACTGCAAATAAATATCAGGTGGACAGACTCTCTAAGACAGAAAAGCTTTTGTGAATGTGTTCTTCTGTCATTAAGTCATTAGTAGGTTTGTCAGAATGAAACGGAACATCTACAACTGGACACCAACTTGTTTTAAATGATTTGTTGGTGTGTTTTTCTGTGTTAGCGAGAGTGACAGTGAACAGCTAGTTGATTGTGGTGGATTTGTGGCAACAGACTGTTCTGCTAATGCTAGCTTGAGGGATAAACCAGCAATAATGCTGATTTCATCCATACTGTGATCAAACACTTGACAGTGAGGATGGTATGTGTTTTTGCTGTTTTTCTGAGTAAAATCTTGTTTATTGATGAAGTCTGAACCGTGGCGTACACTCTACTCGGCGCCGAAGTGATGCTGATGCTGTTTACCGTGAGGATTGTTGCCGTGCATTACTGCTTGTTCCTCGGTGGTAAAGTAGCAATAATGGCCAGTAACACGGTGCCGGGCGTGGTGATCTTAAGAAAAGCTTATTAATGAACAGACAATGATAGATTCCTTAAGAACAGACTGTAGTTAGTTAGTTGCAACATATCTGCGAATCAGCATCGTGACACTTAGCTAAATGTCTGTGATCGACTCTATATCATCTGCTAAGTAACAGTCGATGTAACTAATCATGCATTATAATGCCCTATAGTACGTCTGTATTATATAGTTAAAATTTTTCGATTCTTTCAAGTGGCCTACTCACTCGTCTGCACTCATCACATTCAGTGCACATTTACATTAATATTCATATCCATATGTCACATTATTAGCCAACAGCTCCACACCAGATGCTAGATGCCCCCAGAGCAGCTCCGTCTCCAAGAAATGCGGAACGGAAAAGTTGCTTAAATCTTCTGA